TTCTCTGCCTCCCGAGTCCCAGCTGATCAGGAGGAAATGGGGATTTTGCAGTAATCTTCCCCTGCCACGCTCCACAGAATGCGCCAAATGAATTTATTTGGGAAAGTGCTCTAAAAATGGGACACCAATCTGAAAAATGCCCCTCTTCGTATCCGTCTGTTCTTGGGTGGGTGGGGGTGAGTAGGGACACACCAAGAGAGGCTGTTTCTAGACCTTGTAAGTTCATTCTACACTTTGAAGTGATTTCAGAAACTTAGTGGCAGCCAGTAAATATGGCAAAGTCCTGGCATATACATGAGACAAATTAAGTCAGCACTCTCTGTTATGAACTGTTTTCATTGGGAGGCTCATCTCCAATGCATGGCAATAACCCAAACTGCCTATATAGGTAGTTTTAAAAAACACTGTTTTCCAGACTCTTTTCTCCATCAGTATGTATCCGTCTCTTGAAGAGAATATTTTTGCAGTTAGATAGGCATAAGGCGATAGAAGCCATATGTAGCTCGCTAGATGATATTAAACTCAGTTCCTGTCAGTGGTAACTGGCTTAACAAAATATAAAGGAGTTGTACCACAACAGTATCTGAAGGACCACAGTTAATTTCTGTTACGCAATAATGCTCCTCTATAAGCTATTGATATTCCATTATGTTTTTAGCAGGACAGTTTTAAAAAAATTTAGCTTAGCATATGTGTCTCCATATGTAGCATATGTATGTATATATGCACATGGGTAGTTATTAAAATAAATTGTTTTTATGTGGCTCTATATGTGTGTTAATTCAATTTTTTAAAAGAATTAAATTATATGTTTTACCGTGTGCACCCTCAACAATGTATTTTTTAAGGTATGGTTTATGGCTTAGCAGATTGCATTGACTCAGGCCATTGTGGCTTCTTCAGCAAACCATTATTTAAACTAAACAAAGGAAATCATGAAATCCCACTTACAAATATATCATATTTTTTTGCTCCATAAGATACACTTTTTCTTTCCAAAAGTGGGTGGAAATGTATGTGCATCTTACGGAACGAATATGGGCGATTGGCAGCAGCCACGAACACCAGTGGTGATCTCAGCACCTAGAACAGCTGGTTGGCGGTATTCCGTGAGGCTGATCCAACCATTGATCAAGACTTCTTGAAGATGTTGGGTTTTCAGTAAAATTAAGAATTCTATCAAGATTTTGCTTAACTTTATATTTTTATTAGCCTGGATTATTTTTGCATTCAAATATGAACTTTTATTATTAATGGAAATATTTGCTCTGTACTTGGCAAAACATTACTAATGTTTTTGATCACAGACTCAGTTATCTAATTTTTTAATAATTAAAATCAATGAAGATAGACTTCATATGAATATTAAGCAGATTTTATCGGTTTAGCTGTCATGATTTCCCTCAAAAATGTAGAAGTAATAGAATGAAGTGCTGAAAATATTTTAGATCTGATTAATAATTAACTTACTTAATGGCGCCAATGACATATGACCAGATAGCATAACTGCTTTTCCAATAATGCTAAAGTTTCTATTGCTGTGTAATTTTTAATATTTCTTTATAATACTTACAGGAAATTGATTCCTTGAGCTGTTCATTAACTTACTCAGATAATCATTTGAAGTTCTTCTAATTGAATGCAAAGTTGCATGGTTTGTAATCATCACTGCATTATAAAGTCGAGAACTGCATTTTTCTGCACTTAGTGCAAATTCAAAGGAGAGTTTTATTTTGATTGACAAGCAGAAAAACAAGTGAAATGATAATGCTGTTCTTGTGAATATATTTATTAATATTCAGTTATTTCACAGACACTCCAGATCTTCTTTTTGAAGTCTCATCTCTCGAGAGCGCATTTCAGATTGGAGGATATCCTTGGCATTATATCATTACACCTAACAAGAGAAGTCAAGAAGGAATCTTCCATGTTTGTTCTTTAAAAGACCACACTTTGGTAACATTCTAATGCTGTGAATTATGTGGTTCCCTCAGGAATGATAATAGAACCAAAATGTTAATGTTTTTTCCTTAGATATTGCCTTTTATCAAACAGCTTTATTTAGGTGGCAACATAATATTGAAAGTTAATGACTGTAATAATATTGAAGTGTTGGGCATGTACAAAATAATATATGACCAAGTTGAGGATTGTTTGAATTTCATTCTGAAAAGGATTCTGGAAATCCATATCCCATTGGGGGTGGGGGGTTATATCCAAAAGCATAGCGAACAAGGCTAACAATTATGATCTTAATCTTCATTTTCCCCTCCCCATCTGGAATCTATTTACTTATTCATATGTAGTCAGAAATAGGTCGCACTGAATTTAGTTGAGTACATTCCTGGAAAAGCATGAGTAGAATGTTAATGTTAAAGAGGGAATTTAAATGTCAGTTGATCTCATTCCAATTCAGAATTGCATTTTCAGATGTCCCTACCCTCTCCTTAGATAAATCATATAGAAATATAGCTTTCCATTAACTTCAATTTTAGTTCTTTGGATCTTTGCAGCACTCTCCCTGACCATGGCAAAAGGATCCACCATACTTAATTCTAACCAATAAGGAATTTAAAGCTCAGTGCATTTTTAAAAAGTGAGAACAACAAGTTCCAGAAACAGAGACAAACAAAACATTCTAAATATTTTTTAAACATAGTGGAACACCAAAGAAGTCTAAATAAGAGTTGATAACAAATTGGTGAAATTGTGGGTTTGGGCTGGGAAAAATTGTCTAGATTCCTAATTTCCCACAGCCTCTTTAAGAATGTTGGGATGTGCAGATGATAGATTTTCTCACAGCTTTTGATCTTTTCAATGTTAGTTTAGATTTAAATGCTTAATCTTTAATACTTAAATGTTAGTTTAGATTTAAATTTAAATCTAAATTCTGTCGGTTTAGGCAAAGAATGGCATACAGGATATGAAATGTTGTTCGCTGGAACCTGACAGGATATCTTTCCACCCTGACAGTTCAGGAAGGATGCTACACGTGGGCCCAAATTTAATTAAGTAAGTGTTTGCTGAAAATTACTTTGCATCAGGATGAGAGTAACTTGCTAGTTCTGTGTGGGATTGGCTGCTCAGATTGAATATCTGATCAGCAAAAGTTAGGAGCCACACTGTGGGGTTGGGGTGGGCACAGGTGAATGAGAGCCACAGGTAATAAGGAATGGGCAAGCTAACCCAGGGTTTATATGATTGTTTAGATCAGTGTTTTTCAACCACTGTGCCGCGGCACACTAGTGTGCCGTGACATAGTATAAGGTGTGCCGTGGGAAAAACACCTGCCTATAGTCAATATAGGCACAGAGTTAAAAAAATTTAACATTTTCTAATGGTGGTGTGCCTCGTGATTTTTTTCATGAAAAAAGTGTGCCTTTGCACAAAAAAGGTTGAAAAACACTGGTTTAGATGACATAATCAGGTCTTTTAAGGCCAGTGGGGAGAGGATAAGTCTGTAGGCTATGATGCTGCAGAGAAAGAGAGCCTTGATAGGAAAAGATCTCTTGGTCCTCCAGATAGAACTCTCTCATGGATGGGACCAGATCATACCTATACTACTGGATCTAACAGGACAGATGGATGCCACTGGAGAGAGACAGTCCCATAAATAACTTGGTCCCAAGCCAGGAGGCTTATCCACAATTGCTCTTTGGCCGAAATGTTTCTTAACTACTGTAGCGTTGGACTTAACTGTGACAAGAAAGATGTTAAAGAAAGGTTTAACGAAACTATGACAAGAAACGTTTTAAAGTAGGGCAAAACTCAACAACTCTCTTGCTTGGCAACAGAAATTTTGGGCTCAATCGTCCTCCATTTATGACCACAATTGAGCCCAAAATTTATGTTGCTAAGCAAGACAGTTGTTGAGTTTTGCCCTATTTTAAAACTTTTCTTGTCACAGTTTATTTAAACCTTTCTTTAAAACCTTTCTTGTCACAGTTAAGTGCAACACTGCAATTGTTAAGTTAGTAACACAGTTGTTAAGTGAATCTAGCTTGCCCTTGACCTTACTTGTCAGAAGGTCACAAAAGGTGACCCCGGAACATTGTAACCATTGTAAATATGAACCAGTGGCCAAACACCCAAATTTTGATCCAATGACCAGCAACGGTCATATGAAAAATAGTAGTCTCTTTTTTCAGTGCCATTGTAACTTCGAATGGTCATTAAACAAATGGTTGTAAACCAAGGACTTAAAGGTAAAGGTTCCCACACACATGCGTTCTAGTCATTTCCAGCTCTGTTTCAAAGCCAAAAAGCCAGCACTGTCCAAAGACATCTTTGTGGTAATGTGGCCGGCATAACTAAAAGCTGAAGCCGCACGGAACACAGTTATCTTCCCACTAAAGGTGTTCTTATTTTTCTATTTGCATTTTTACTTGCTTTTGAACTGCTAGGTTGGCAGAAGCTGGACAAGTAATGGGAGCTCACCCTGTTATGCAGCGCTAGGGATTTGAACTGCCGACCTTCTGATCAACAAGCTCAGTGTCTTAACCACTGAGCCACCATGTTCCCTTAAGTCAAGGACTATCTGCATGCTATTATGTATGTTACTCTGAAGAGGCACCTAGCTCTTTCAAAAAAGAAAAGAAAAAGCAGCGTTTGGCTCCATCGTGCAGTAGTTTGATCAAACAACCACAACTTCATTTTCTACAAGAAATAAAAAGCGGTAAAATTGGTATTTAGGGAGAAAGTACTTTCCCCATTCTTGTGAATGTGATTGATCCCCATGGGGTTTTTATTTCTACAGAGTTCTGAAGTTGAAGGAAACTGAAAGTACCAAGCAGCAAGAAGTCACAGAGGATTTTATCATAGAAGCCAACAGGGAAAATAAGGTGAGATTATAAAAAGAAAACTGGTTGAAACCATTATTCGTTAAGACTAATATATTTCATTGGGAGAGTTTCTGTTCCTCAGGCCTGAGCCAGACATTACATATATAATCATGGTTTATCAAATATATGACAGTTGGCTGGATTCATAAAACATGCTAAGCACAAACCAAAACTTCCTAACCGTAATGCCTGTCCTTTAACTAAACTCCTGTTAAAGGATAAATTGTTCAAGAGATGTAACATATCATAAAAATTGGGGGGGGGATCCCCTTCCAGCTATATTTTCTATTTTCTGCAAGGTGATTTTTTTTTTTAAAAAAATCTCAGTTAAAGTTAGAATCTGTGTTCAATCAAATAGAGGTAAAACAAATGCTCAGTTAGTGTTCTCCTTAGTTGATCATGTGTCAAAACAACACAAAAAACCCTCTCTTGTCTTCATATTTTTCATAACAAAGGTGAACAACTCTGTAACAGTAACAGCATCTGGCCGAATAGTGAAGAAGCGTTTTAAATTATTGGATGATGATCCTGAGCAAGAGGTAAATTCAGTTTTAGATAGTTGACAATCATTTGATCCTGAATAAAGCAATGACCCACATTGACTGGGTAAAGTTTGCACATGCCTACAAAATGTTTGTGTTTGTATGCCACCATTTCTTAATTGATAGCTCCAGGAATATGTTGGGGATTGCTCTCTTTTGCAGGAGAGAAAGAGAAATAAAGCAAGCATTTTCACTTGATTGTTGGCCTCTGATCTGTGAGCGATCTCCCTGTGAATTATTATTGAATAATTATTGTGAATTAGTGTGTTAATAGGACTTAAAGAATGTGAGGACTGTTAAGTTCTAGAAATTTAAGCTGAGTTGCTGCTTTAGGAATCCTGGAAAGAGATGTGAGGAATTAACTTTGGTTGTTGATTATCCACTTAATCTCGCAAGGTCGTGCCGGAAACGAATTCTATGCTGTTGAAGAGCATGCAGGTCACAAAAAGATGATAAATAATGCAAAGAAAACAGTCGAGATCTGAGCTGAGCAATGTGTCCCTACATCATTAGCAATGTATTTTTGGAAACCATTTTTCACTTTCTATTAGGAACTGTAGCCGAGATGACACAGCCACAAGAATTCTAATTCCTCAGCTTCTGGAAACCATTTCCAGCCTTGTTTCCATGGAAATGAATATAGTTGGGGGTGGGGGTGGGTGAAAACATGGTAAGAACTGTTTGAGGCTTTTAGAATCTGTAATTCATTTATATTCAATTGCCAAATTTAAAAAGAGATCAGAGAGAAGCAAGACCCCAGGTTTTACCTAAAGCATACCCTTTTTTTTGGCTTTACAGCCTTAAATTATACTTTACAGAAGGAAGTTCTTTAAAATACTTGCCTGTATTTAATTGGGGGACATAAATGCAAAAGATTTTGCAGTCCATTTTAGAATAAATCTTAAAACATGGGATGTCTATATGAGTTCTCTGTGTGATAATTTCATTGTTAACAGTTATGTACAGTATTTATTTGGGTAGTTGCTGTGTTGTTTTTCCCAAAAACATCTCTCCATCTCTTAAGCTACAACGGAATGTACATTACAAATCAAATCCTGATGATGTCAGTGGTTCTGTGCCCATCTGTTACTTAAGTGGGTTGTAAATGTTATCACACATATAGGCAAGGGAACTAATGTGATGTTGAATTAGGAGAGAAACTAACAATCTATCCCACGCTTAGCCATTGGAAGCTCACTAAGTGGCTTCAGACCCACTTCACAAGATTGTAGTTGTGAGGGAAAAATTAAGAAATTGCCGTGTTTCCCTAAAAATAAGACAGTGTCTTATTTTCTTTTGACCCCCCAAATAAGCACTTGGCATTATTTTTGGGGAAGTCTTATTATTTTTGAGGTACAGGTGGCGAGCATGGTCACTTCATGGCTGCTGTTGTTTTGCAATATTTTTTGGGAGGATTTATTTTCAGGGGAGGCCTTATTTTAGCACATGCGCTCAAAAGCCCGATTGGGCTTATTATCCAGGGAGGTCTTATTTTCAGGGAAACAGGGTTTGTATCTATGTCATGTTGAACTCCTGAATGTCAGGATGCAAATTCACTAAATAAACTTGATAATGTACAAGTAGACGTTCAGATGGGTATAACCTTGTTCATTGAAATGGAGAGGAGCCTACCTGCGCTCATTTGCCTTTCTACACACACAGTGTTTACAGTAAGGCAACTGAAATTTGAGTTACTAAAGTCCACTATAGAAATAATGCAGCCTTCCAAAGATCTCAAGTAAACTGGATTGAAAATGTAGAGTATGACCAGATGAATGAGAGCAAGCACTTAAAAATGTAGAGAACATTTCCTTGTTTTTATGTTTTAAATTTGTATTGAAAATAGAAGATACTTTAAAATGTGACTAATGTGCCCAATGCTGGCTTTTTTAAAAATGTTTTTTTGTGTGTGTGTGTACGTGTGGAAAGACCTTCAAAATTGTCGACTATGAAGATGAACTGAACTTGCTATCTGTTGTGGCTGTTACTCAGATAGGAGCTGATGGGGCAGCTCATCTTGATTTCCATTGTAACGAGCAAGGTATTCGGTTGAAGAGTTTTCCTTTTGTGGAACCCTGGGATGTGGTAAGTATAATGTAGGTTTTCCTAATGTTCCTACTATCAGCATACTACAGTATCTAATGACATGATACTGTCGAGCTATTTATATGTGCCATTCAAATGCTAAAGATAAACATTTCCAAGAAATGGGACAAGTTAAAGTAAATGAGTTATAGAAAGATAATAATGCAGCAATCTGGAAATACACACCATACATTCCTGTTAGATCCATCTGATTTCTATCCAGAGCTGAGTTTTGTAGATTTAAATTGGCTGGTTGCTTTGAAGCTGTGAGATACACACATTTCCCTCCAAATAACCTTTCCAATTTAAAAATAAGCTTTAAGCATCTTTTTTTAAAAACAAAGTTGAAGGACAGGTGTTTTTGATAATTGGATAAATGCATAAATGGCATTTATTTATTTTTTAAAAGTCCCCAGTCTGAAGAAAAAAGCAAAGCAGGCTTTTAAAGCTTTAACATGGAAAAAAATATATGTCCACAGCTGAAATTCAGACAAAAGATGGACTTACAATTATACTAGTTCTTGTGTGTATGATATTGGCAATGTGTGAAAATCTGGCATTGTACAGAATGCCTAGGAAATGTACAGAATTGGTGATGTTTTTAGGCAAAATATCAAATGTCTGTTATTTTAATATGCTATACCCATGATGGTGAATCTGGTTTTGGTCCCAGGAAGGTTCAGGGAGGCCTGCTAGGCCCAAAACAGGGTGTGGGGTCGCATGTGCAGGAGGGCGGGTCGTATGGGGGGGGAGGATTGCACACAAATTGCATTATGGGTGTGGACATTAGCCATCACTGTGCTATACAGTATCCTAGGTATTATATATATTATCTAGGCATTATGCAGAATGACAAGAACTATTTAGGCAAAGTATGAAAAAAGAGTCAAGAAAAGGGTTAGGCTCTGCTCTGCTGGCTGGAGAATTCTGGGAGTTGAAGTCTGCAAGTCTTAAAGTTGCCAAGTTTGGGAACCTCTGGACCGTTAGGGCTAGCCTTTATTGTAAAGACATATATGAAAATGAAAGAATGTTATCCTAGAAGATCCAGTAACTTACCAATAATCTGGCAGGTGATGTCATACAAAAATGTTTTATCACCACAAAGCGTTTATGTGTCGTATAGCATTCAGGCTATCATTTGAAGTGTAAATAATGTTTTTGTTCTCCTAATGCAGATAGACAACCATGAAGTTCACTTTGATAGACATACAGTGCTGCACATACAACAACAGCGCCACAGGAAATTCAGCTGTCACGTATACCAGATGACCTGCAATATTGCAAAAGATGACTATGTATAGAAAGGAAAAAGAAGAGGATGTGCTTGGTCGAAAACTGAGGGGGGGGATGCTGAATATTTTTAGATTTCACCTTGATTTGGAGACTTTGTTGTGGGCAGTATCTGAAGACGTGCAAGTCTCTTTTTATGCAATGCAATAGTAGTAACTATTCTTCTTTGTATAAATGTAATTCTTTTTTAACTGCTTCTCAGCCTTTGGGATAAGATCAAATGTACTGTAGTATAAATTACTTTTAAATATTTATTTTAAAAAACACTCAAACGGCAAAATTGTAAATTGCCACAGATGTGTATATATACTCAATTTTTTCTAAAATACAGCTCTTTTGTATTAATATTGGTTGAAGAATTGTGCAGAATGCAAATTCAAACTACATTTTTGCTGTCATTAAAAAAAATGGAATTTAAATCACTTTTAAATTCTCTACATGGAGCAAAGAATACTCTTCAGTTCGGTAGGGGCTTAATCATGGTTATCTATGCCCTGCTACAGCTAGACATTGTATAAACACTAACTGACAGGGTTGTATTTCTTCTAACAGGCAGAGAGGGAGCTGACCTTAGTTCTTCTGTCAGCAGATAACTGATCACTTGCCAGTCATCTGAAGAAGATTGTCAAATGGGATTCTCTTTGGAAATAATACTGTGTGCAGCAGTCCACTACTAAATGCCTTGGGGTGTGTTACTATTTTACAGTTATGCAGAAAGAGTGATTAAGAGTTAAGAAATAGGCTGCTCATCAGAAGTGGGTTCCTACCAGTTCGCACCTATTCGGTAGAACCGGTTCATCAAATCTACCGAACCGGTTAGAAGAGGTTCCACCAGTGGACCCGGAAAGCAGGCCACACCTACAGAAGAGGTTCCAAACTTTTTTGAAACCCACCACTGCCACACACACACACACACACACAGACTGACAGACAGACAGACAGACACACTGACACAGAGAGAGAGAGAAAGAGAAAGAAAGGAAGAAATAAATAAATAAATAAAAAAGAAAGAAAAAGAGTGAGAGAGAGATGAAAGGGACAGAGACAAAAGGGACAGAGAGACAAAAGGAAGGAAAGAGAGAGAGAGAGAGAAAGAAAGAAAGAAAGAAAGAAAGAAAGAAAGAA